ATAATTAGAACAAATATTTAGTCATGTTAATAAAATCATGATAAAATAGAAGGATAAATGAAGGTTGGCATTATCCAGGGGGGGTGCTATAGCCATCTGGTAATGGCTCTGATCATCAAAACATAACAACCACTCTTTTTTAAAAAAATTTTTAATTTTTTAGACAGTTGGGGTTAAGTGACTTGCCTAAGGGTCACACAACTAGCAAGTGTCAAGTGTTTAGTCTGAGGCCGTATTTGAACTCAGGTCCTTCTGACTTCAGGGCCGGTGCTCTATCCACTATGTCCCCTAGTGGCCCTTATAACAATCACTCTTAAACCTTATGTCTAATTAGACTCCTTTTGTAACCTCTGATAATGATGGCATTCAGAAGGGACACAACATTTCCCCGTGTTAGACTATAAGCAGTTAATCTTTGTTCAGTCCTGTATAATTTTTCATTTGTGTTTACCCTTTTATGTTTCTTTTTACTCCTGTGTTTCAACTTCAAAGTTTCAGTGCAGTTCTGTTTTTCTGGAATGTTCTGTTTTTCTGGAATGTTCTGTTTTGTTAAAGGTCTATTTTTTCCTCTGTATGGTTATATCCAGTTTTGCTAGGTAAGTTATTCTTAAGTATAGGCCTAGGTCCTTTGCCTCAAGAATATCTCCACTCCTTTATAATAGTGGCTGCTAAATTGTGTGGATCCTGTCTTTGGCTTCTCAGTATTTGAATTCTTTCTTTCTGGCTTCTTACATTACTTTTTCTTTGACTTAGATGCTTTGGGTTTTGGCTATACTCTTCCTGGGAGTTTCCATTTTGGGATTTTTTTCAGGTAGTGACAAGTGGATTTGTTCTGATTCCACTTTGGAGATCTGGGCAGTTTTATTTAACATTTCTGGATATATAACTAGGTTCTTTAATGATTATTAAATTTTTTCTCCTCAGTCTTTCTTCCGGGTCAGTGGTTTTTGCTATGCATTTTCGTGTGTGTGTGTGTGTGTGTGTGTGTGTGTGTGGTGTGTGTTGTGTGTGTTTGGTCAATCATTTGACTTTATTTTACTATTTCTTGTTGTTTCATGGAGTTATTAGCTTCTGTTTGGTCCATTCTCACTTTTAGAGAATTATTTTCTTGGGTAAGCTTTGTGCCTCTTGTTTCAAACTATTAATTCACTTGCCAATTTTTTCTTATGTAACTCATTTCTTTTCTGCTTTTCACTTCTTATGCTCTCATTTTACTTATAGAAAATAAAAAAACTTTTTTTACACTCTTGATTCAATTTTTCTTATTAAATGTAGTTGAATTTATGACTAAGCTGTGGTTTTTCTCTGAGATTTTGCTTGTAAATGTCTTACAGTTATTCTTTCTTGGGTTTATGTCTTGAGTGTGCCTCTCACTATAATAGCTTTTTATGGTGAAATTCTTTTTGTTTTCCCATCCTTCCACCCTATTTTCCTGACTTTGGACTTGATATTATGGTTAAGTTCTGCACACTTTTGGATTGGAGGTCTGGTTTGATCTGTTTTCTTGGGGTATTGAATATTGCTTTATTCCAAGATTGCTGGGTCAGCTCAGACTTGGGTCTTGGATTCATTTCCCACCTGGCTGCTCTCCTTTAGACTTTTCCATTATACCCCCTGTGCTGGGGATCTTTTTCTTCCTTCCCCCTCTGCACCTTTCTTCAGTGTGTTGTCTCCTCTGTTAGATTGTAAGCCCTTTGAGGGCAGATACTGTCCTTTTTATATATATATCCTTAGTGCTTAGCACAGTGCCTGACACACAGAAAGAGCTAAATATTGATTTATTACAATAAATAATGGGGCAGCTAGGTGGCGCAGTGGATAGAGCACCAGCTCTGGAGTCAAGAGGACTTGAGTTCAAGTACTGCCTCAGACACATAACACTCACTAGCTGTGTGACTCTGGGCAAATCACTTAACCCTAATTGCCTCACCAAAAAAAAAAAAATGTTTATTGACTGCATGCAAGCTCCCAGTGCTCCCAAAGTGGTTTAATTGAGAATAAAGTCTGAAATTGTTTTCCTGATTTGAGTGCTGCAAGTTCCTAACATGGGTTGGGGTCTGAGCAACAATAGATCTGTGGGGTCTGTTGAAGTTTTGGTGGAAAGCTGCTGGATTCAGCTGTTATTAGCCCTGGTAATTCCCTCTGTAAGTGAGCTTTCCTTTCCTTCCCTTCCCTCCCTCTCCTCCCACATTTGGCCCAGATCTCTTCCAGTAGATCTAGAAAAATCTACCAGATTGGATCTTGATCAGGAATTAAAAAAAAAAATTAGGGCAGCTAGGTGGTGCAGTGGATAGAGCACTGGCCCTGAAGTCAGAATGACCTGAGTTCAAATCCGGCCTCAGACTAAACACTTGACACTTGCTACTTGTATGACTCTGGGCAAGTCACTTAACCCCAATTGCCTTAAAAAAAAATCATGGTGAGTCATTTTTCCAGCTTAGGTTAGCATAGAAAGATAGATATTGGGGATGAGATTCAGACTATACTGGAGCCTGAAACTGAGATCCCCCTTGCCTCCTGGGATCTGAGTCATACCTTGCTCTTGAACTTCCTCCTTTCTAGATGCACAGCCCTAAGGCCCACCTTGCAATGCCATGCCTCAGTCTGCCCTGAGGCTGGGTAGTAAGTGATAGAACTACCAGTTGGTATCTGTTCTTAGGGCCTACTCAAGTTTCAGTTCTTCCTTCTGGATCTAGGACTTCATCTTGCCCTGGTGCACAGCTTCTGCCTGCACTGAAATGTTCTGTTGAGCTGCCGCGGACAGTATCTCATCTCTAGTGTCTACAGGCCTCTCTGTCTGCCTCCCTGTCCTAACATGGGCTGGGAAAATGACTCATTGTAATTTTTTTCTTGGAATTATTGATAAGGATTCAGTCTGGTACATTTTCTACATCTGTTTAGAGGAGTTTTTTGTTTTTTTTTTTGGTTTTGGGTGGGGGAATTCACTGTATTTCTTCCTGTTAACTTCCCTGTCTTAGATCCAAGGCTTATCATTTCTTTCACCAAAATGTTCTTTCTATTCCCTGCCTGGGTCCTTGTTTTAATCTACTGTAACCACTGCAGTACCCTAACCAGTCTTTCTCATCTCACTTTTTCCATCTTCATTTATCTGTTGTACTTGTAGCTTCCTAATCTTCCCTGCGTATAAACTTGGTCATCTCACTCACTTGCTTAAAATTTTTTCGTGACTTATTTATTTCCTACTGAGTCAAATTTAGATTCCTTCACCCGACATTTAAGACCTGTTATAATATTAGGCCCCCGTACCTTAATTCTTATTGACTGTTACTCCCTGTTATATACTTTTATCATTCAGCCAAATGACTGTGTCCCCTGACCAATCTGTGCTTTCTGTGACTTGGCTCATGTTGTTACCTATCCCTTGGATATTCTTCCTCTGCTTTGTTTCTTGAAATTCCTACCCTCCTTTAAAGTCTATTTTTAATATTGGACTTAAATACTTCCTCCATAAAGTTCTCTTTGTTGACCCTTCAAGCCGGTACTCTTGTTCTTCCTCACAAAGTACTTTTTGTACCTCTTTAATGCAGTAGATGCAGTAGTAACTAGTGTGGTAACTAGAGAGTTGTCCTTGAAGCAAGGCAGATTTATCTTACTTAGACATATACTGGCAATGGGACTCCTGGCAAGTCAGTTAACCTCTGTGCTCTAGGTCACTCCAGGCTGTAACTTGAAGAGAAGCTGCTGATCTGCAATTTGTAGAGGGAATTTTTTTCACCTGAGAATTTCCTAAAGCAGTGAAATTTCAGGTCCAGTACCTATTCTAATGAATTAATTATGTGTTTTGTATTACAGTTACCTTTGTATGTGCTACCTCCCTACTAGACTTTAGTTTCATGAGGACAGGATCCTGTACCTAATTTTGTATCTTGTGTAGTACTTAGCATGGTGCTATGCATACAATAGATGCTTAACAAATGTTGGTTGAATTGTTGAATGTAGAAACTGAGTCCTTTTTTTCATGCTGTATTCCTCAAGTTACCAAATTCCTCTGACAGTCTAGATTTAGAATTCAAAAGGCATTAATATGTGATAATTTTATTCTTTCACTTATGAAAAAAGAATCTTATGGTTTCCATAGCAACTGTTACTCATCCAGATTGTATCTTCCTTACAGCATTAAAAATAAAACTATACAATTTTTGAGCTTATGTAGTATTTCATGTAGGACTACAAAGCCATGATATCCAACAAGTGCTTTAGGAGTTATTGGTCCTGGTAGTATTTTTTTTCTGCTCTATCACCTGAGGATTGGGATTTCTCGTTATAGCCTTCTACCACATTTTTTGTTTCTTTAAGTGGTAGAATTTGTTGGGAAGTCCACTTGTAACTTTTACTAAGGAGGTGGTAAGCAATGATAATTTAGTATAAAACAAAATTCTGGTAACTACAGGAGCATCTACTTGGGTGTTTTAGCCTTTGTGTCTTGTGCCATACAAAACACTTAGACATGTTAATGAGCAAACATTCCCCTCTGTAGTTCTTGATTCTTGTGAATATTTCCAACATTGCCACCTTGCACTACTTTAAGACATAAGAATACCAATAATTTGATTTTTTTGTGAATTTAGATTTTCTGAATTAGAATGCTTCTGTAGACTCTTGATTTTAAGTGAGGACTGATATTTTCCTGTAATATAGTTTATATCTTTGTTTATTCTTAAAAACTCATAACTTCTGTAAAGTAACATTTTTATGTCAGTATTCTGATTAGTGTGTTAATGTTTTAATCAGGATTTTATATCAGTGATTTGTGTTACAAGTTGGTATGAATTTCTTTTTGAAATTTTACCTTTCTGTGGTTGCCAATGCTAAAAATGTTTATGAAGCATTACAGGATTTTGAAAAAGTTTTCTTAACATTAAGAATCCTTTTTCATTTCATGATTCATTGTAGAGAGATTACCGTATCTGGATTTATAATTTTTAAACCTGAAGATAACTTGTAGAAAAATAAAATGATGATTTTTTGTTTATGTGCAGAAAAGATGAAAAGGAATATGCATTGAAGCAAATTGAAGGCACAGGAATATCCATGTCGGCTTGTAGAGAGATTGCAGTAAGTGGATATAAACATAGTTCTTTATTCTATCATGTTAGTTATTTTAGATGGTATTAATATTAGAAACTATTTTTATGAATACATGTTAATTTCATAAGTATTCAGTGATTCTTCAGTTCAATGTTTGTGAAAGAAGCCACAATTCCTTTTGAGTAATGAATTTGATGGCATAATTCAAAATAAAACTCTTTGGGTGAAAATATTCATAAGATCACAGTGCATATTATTATTAATAAGAAGTATCTAAACCTAAGTGATGATTTAATGATTATTTGTTTTTGTATGAGTTTCACTTTTTTGTTTTACAGGAGCCTGTTTTGAAGGGAAGTAGGAAAGCTTGCAAGGTATTGAGCTGAATACAAATCTAAAAAAGAGGAGTAAAAAGGAGGAAAGTAATAGCATATGTAATCATTTGAATGTACAATATAGGGGAAAATTTGAGGAACAGAACAGTATTCCTTTATGTTAAAATTAGTTTCTTTTATGGTGACTAACTTTTATTGTGAATATTTTAGTAACTTAATGTTTAAATATATTATAAATAAAATTTTTTAATTTGCTATGCATTCTTCAATGACTGTACCAGAGTTTTTGAAGGTATATGTTGATAAAGAGAGTTTTTGTTTGCAACCTTTAGGGCTGGCTGATTCCATGAAAGCAAAACTTTATCACAAATTGCTTACTGGAAAAATAAAGAAAATGATGGTTGAATGAGGAAGGAGAAATGATGTATCATTAGAGTGAAGATGAAAGTTTTCCTATACCCTCTGCTTTTCTCTCAAATCAGGGTACTAATACAGAGCTATGTTTTCTTAATTACCCTTCTACACTGAATCACTTTCCCAAATTGTCCTGTAAACTTAAAGTTATAGATATATATATTAGCTTGAAGACCTAGTCACAGTGGCTATGCCTCTTGGTTATCAAGGTCAGGAAACAGGAGATAGTCTGTGGCAGAATCTGTGTTTATAACTCTGACAAGATTTTTAAGAGTGAAGTAGTATGGGGCAGCTAGGTGGCACAGTGGATAGAGCACCGGCCCTGGAGTCAGGAGGACCTCAGTTCAAATCCAGCCTCAGACACATAACACTTATTAGCTGCGTGACCCTGGGCAAGTCACTTAACCCCATTGCCTAACCAAAAAAAAAAAAGGAGTGAAGTAGTAGCTAGAAATTCATTTGTAGCTGCTTACTGTGTGAATTAATCTTAAGAGATGTTCTTCTAAAACTGAGCAAACTAGTTTTCAAAGTGAGATGAAACACTGTAAATTTTGTTACAGTACAAGCAGTGGCAGAGACATATTCACCATCTCTTCATAATTGATTGAAGAGGCAAGATGAGAGGAAATAGTCAAAGTGTGAACTTTTTATAAGAGCATATAAAGGAAGAGGGGGAAAAATAGCTGGATTGCTTCCTAAGGCTTTGTAGACTTTAGCTGAGAGAGCTTCTGTTTGGTTTAAGGTTTTGGCAGGAATCTTTTCATTGAGGTAAGCTGCACTTGAAGGAAGCAAGTAGAGGATAAAATAGTCTGGAAAGGCTCAGAAAAAAGGGCTTTTCACCAGGTATTACCAGGCAGGCAAATGGACAGTTAGCTATTTGATACTGAGAATTAGTATCTCCATGATAGTGTGTGTATGGAAGGCAAAGAGACATTCAATCAATCAATAAACATTTATTTAGTAACTACTATATGTTGTATGGGCTATTTTCATGTTTCTCTTAGGGCAGAGTAACTACTACATTGTCTTAAAATATGAGTTGACCCTTCTAGTTAGAAGAGAAGCTGAAACAGCTATACATATGTCTTCTCTTATCTAGCTTATCAGGGAGAATCAATTCTTGAAATAATGAAAGTACTTCAAAGGGAAAACTAAGAAGAGAAAAGAATCTGAGTAAGCAGAGGGGATCCTAACCTGAATCAGGAGATTGGAATATGGAAAAGCAAAATAATACAGAGAAGAGGAGCCATGTTACTATTACAGAGCTATATAATATAGATGAGCTAATTCCCTTGGAGGGTGGAGCTGTATCTTCTGTGGAAGAAACAGCTTTTTAGGTTCCAAAGAATTTTTATGGCCATCCATCGGACCTACTAGTGTAGAGGATATCCAGTATGGTGTTTGGTGACTTCTTACTGAGGGATACCATGGTGGCTATCTGTCAGCTTAATAGCAAGAGTAAAAAAGAATGCTCACTTTTCTGGGTATACATTCAGAATATAACAGCCTCTCTAAACTTGGCAAAATTGACAACTTGTAATGATAAATGATATGGCTTGAAGAGATCTGTGAAGAATTTCTGGGGTTTATGGAGTCCAGGGAAAGGAATTGAAGACCAGAGAGACAAAGCTGATCTACTTATCACCACTTCCAGTTGAAGATAGGCGTTTTGGAAGAAGGAGATGGATTTTGGAAGTAGGCAGCTGATTGAGCAAATAATTCTTGAGAATTGGGATTTAGATTTCTGACCCTAGTTTATATACTGATAAACTCTTGAACAGAGATGGTGTACATTTCACCAGTACTAGTAAATAATATATTGGCCTGTGAATTTTTTGTGAATCTTCTCAAGAGAGTTTTAAACTGAAAATGAAGAAAAAGGAAAGTATTGCCCACCTATTTTTCCCAAACCAAATACCATAGAGAGTAGCAGGTACTTCACAGGAAGAACATTATTGGAGATGACCAATGATTTTCAAGGGGACAGTGCTCTAGAAGGTAAGTAGTAAAATCTGTGGCCTTAGATGTCCTTAGGTAAATGCACAGTGTATAGTTGAGAAGGTAAACTGGGAATCTTACTTCAAGGAGGTAAACTCTCCCGTACAAATATCACTGAAGTTTGATTAAAGGTGTGACTTATGATTAGATTCTGGGTATGGAAGAGTATATAACTTATTTAACAAAAAGTAGGTTAAATAAAAGGAGAATTGTAGTATTATTGTGTATCAAAAAGTTTTACTTTTGTGAGGCCATGAACTGGCAGGGGAAGGAATTGGGTAACCTTATCTGGAGAAACAATATTGTTGTGAACTAGTGTATTCCAGTGGTATTAAGCAAATAGAAATGGAGGCCTCTAAATCATACATAGGGATTTCTGCCAGCTGCATATTAACTTAGAAAACCACATAATAACATTATCTTTGTTCTAATGTATTTATTTTGTTAAATATTACCTAATTACATTTTAATCTGGTTTGTGCTAGGGAATGTTGAGGTCAGCAAGGGCTGCATGTTTGATAGTACATACTACCAAACTAAAATGAGGAAATGGATAAACAAAATAAGAAACAAATCAAAAACTTAGCATGGAGGTGCAATTGGCCTTAGTAAATGATAGCAGTTACTTAGATATTTGCTGAAACACTGATAAAAGCAGAGCAGATGTTAAGGTTCTTGATTTGTCTTAAAGCTACTTTATTTTTTCAAAAGCTGGAGGAAGTGATGACAGAACAGTTATTTTGGATCTGATTTTGAATAGTGGGAAGTGTCTGGTTAATGAAATAGAAATGGTGAAAACCTTTGGAAGTAATTGTTACTACATTTTGGATTTTGTTGTAGATAAGAGACAGAAGTTGGTCATATTCTTTCGTGCAATTCAGATGTTGGGATAGTAGATTTTTCAAAGAGTAAAGAAAGGCTAGATAGGATCTCAAGGCCTAAAATTTTATAGAACGTGTGATAAACACAAGAGAGTATAATCATCAATCCTCCTATCTCCACTTCCTGCTTCCCCCAAATAATAAGTTCTACTGCTGTCTTTTGTTCTTACATTAACGTCCTTTGCACTACTCCCTTACCACTACCTAACCTCTCTTTCTAATGAAGTTTTTTTTAAAAAAGGAAGAAAAAGTAGTTTAGTGAAATTAATGAACAGTCATCATGTCTGACAGCATGTACAGTGCTCTACACTCATAAATTGCCTCTGCAAAGAGAGGAGGGAGGTATATTTTCTTAACTCTTCTCTGAGACCAAGCTTGGTTGTTTCAATTACAGTGTTCAGTTGTAGTAAGACAGTTTACTCCCGGATTTATCTAAACATTTCTATTCTGTTTCCTGAGCTCTAGTTTTATATTCTACTGCCTATTGGATGTTTCAAACTGGACAGTTTGTAGATATCTCAGACTTAACATGGCCAAAACAGAATTTGTTATCTTTTCCCTCAAATTCATCCCTCTTCCAAACTTCTCTGTTCCTGTTAATCGAACTCCTTTAATCACCCAGGTTTTGTAACCTCAGTGTTATCCTTGATTCTGTATTTCAGCCAGACTGTCCTTTTTTCTGTTCCTTATGCATGACATTTCAGCTCTTCTCTCCACACCTTTCCACTGGTGTTCCGCTATGCCTTGAATGTACTCTCTTCTTCCTTCTGTCTCTTCGAAGTCCTTATTAAAACTCATCTCAAAGATCAATTTCTCTAAGGACTTCTGAGATTTCTCCCCATCTATTAGGATCCTTTCCCACCCTTTTCATTGCTTGTTTTGTGTATGCTTACTTGTGTCCTGGAGTACAGGGTCTTTTTCATTTTTGTTTTTGTATCACTGATACCAATTCAATGCCTGTCATGTAGTAGATGCCTGATAATGATTTCTGCCTCCCTTTTATTATGTGCCCCAGTGTGAGATCTCTGGGTCAAGAGTATGGCTGTTTTAGTCATGAGCATATTGATATTTTTCTGGCACAAACTTCCTTTGAAGGAGAAAAGGGAAGTGTTCTAAAGAGATGGAAATGGATACACAGATTTTTTAAAAGGCATGTATGGTTTCTAGTCAAGATGGCATTATCTCATAAGTTCAAAGGAAGCAGGTACTGTCACAATCTCCCCAACAAACGATGGAATTTTCAAAGAGAAAAGCTGAATAAAAGTCACAACAAATACAAATGACCAAAACCAGAAAATGAGCAAGGTGAAGAAATGTTGAAACAGCTGGAAAAAAATATGAAGCAATTGAAAGACTAAAGTGCTAGAATAATATAGGTGGAGAAAGAAACAATAACTAT